TCACGGCTCGGATCCTGCAGGCGCAACAGCAAAGGGACGAGGCTCTGGAGCACCAGCTTCCTCAGGGGGCCGCGGAGGCCCACCCGGAGCCCGCCCCGGCCCCGCCGCACCAGCGTCCCGAGAAGCCCCACCGCCGAGGCGCGGACCGAGTCCCTGGCCTGCGTGAGAGGGCGCGGTCAGGGCAGACCAAGAACCGGGAGAGTCTAGGTGAGGGCGGCAGTCTGGGCGCTGATCCGGGGTGCCTGGTGGGGGTGGGGTGGGGTGGGGTGGGGTGGGGTGGGCGGGCAGGAATGGGGCGGATTGCGGTGTGTGTGGGGGCGCCCGGCGGCCCGGAGGGGCGGAGCTTACGTCGTCCAGCAGCCGAGGGAGGCGCGGCCCCAGCTCGGCGCTCAGGAGCCGCACGGGCGCCCGAGGCCGCAGCAGGAGCCTCCGCAGCGCGCCCAGCGCGGCGTCCACGAGCCTCCCGTCGCCCTCGCCTAGCGCACCCAGCAGCGCGGGCAGCAGCTTGCTCACGTGCCGCACCTGCGGGGGCAGCGACTCGTGGGCGGCCCCTCGGGCCCCTGCCCGGGTCCCCCCTCCCACCCCAGGCCGCTCCCTCACCTTCCCGCGGTTCAGCGCCAGGTGGCCGAGGCCCAGCAGGCCCAGCCAGCGCACCGTGGGCTCAGGGTCGCTCTGCCAGGCCCGGAGCCGCTCCAGGATGACCTCCTCCCGCAAGAGCCTTGCTGTGGGCCGACTCTGCAACAGCTGAGAGAGAGGCCCTGGGGTCAGCGTGCTCGAAGTCCCCATGACGGCGGCCCTGCCTAGGGGCCAGGTCCACCGGCACCCCTCACCACCCACGTGGAAGCAGGCTCACCCCGGTGAAGAAGGCCATCGCCGTGAGGCGTTGCGTGTCGTCGGGGCTGCGCAGCCGCGGCAGCAAGCTCCCGAACAGGCCCCGCAGATGGTGGTCCGCGTGCGCTACCATGGCACTGGGGGGGGGGGGGGGGGGGGGGGGGCTCCCCCCTCTCCCCGCCTCACCCCTTGAGAAGCCTCCACCTGACCGCCCTCCTGCCCCGGCCTCTTCCCCAGCGCCCCCCTCCAGCACCTGGCCAGCAGCAAGACGCCTTCTAGGTGGGTGTGGACTCCCACCAGCCTCCTCCAGCCTCCAGCCTGCTCCATGCACGTGACCACCATACGGCCTCCATCCCCGGTGAGCAAGGCCTTCAAGGCCTCCACGGCGCAGCTGGGGTGGGGGCAGGGAGCAAGTGGGTGGGGAGGGCCGGGAGGGCAGTGGCCCAGCCCTCACTCCCCTCTGCTGTGGGCCCCTCACCTGGCGTGGCTGTGCGGTGGCCCTCGGTGCAATGGGGCCCACCCCTTCGGGGTGTCAGGAGAGTGCCCACGCCGTGCCAGCTGGTGGAGCTGTGTGACCAGCACGAGCAGAAGGTGTGGGTAGAAGCCCCGCGTGGCACCCACACAGCCAGACACGGCCAGCATCTCTCCGAGGGCCCGCGTGGCCTGCGGAACGAGCAGCCCAGATCAGGCTCTGGGCGCCATGACAGACACTAGGACAAAGCTCGGACACCCCAGTGAGAGCCTGCTGCCCCCGCACCCCTGGGGCCAGACCCTCCCTGGGGGTGGCCCCCGGCTGTGTTGGCTCGTCACCTACCGCCAAGGCCTCCAGCTCAGGCCCCGCTTCATCCTTCAGTGCCCACAGCAGCTGGACCAGCACCTGCCCGTTCACGCGCTGATTCCGGCTCAGGCTGCGCCATAGCTCAGCTGCTGCCCTGGGGGTACGAGCACCTGAGGCAGGGTCCGACGTGGGGAGTCCCTAGGTCAGGGTGGGAGGTGGCCTCGAGGACTCCAGCATGGGGAGCAGGGGGTAAAGCATCCCCCAGGCACTCCACCCGCAAACCCCAGAAAAACCAAACAATTGCCATCTGTGCAGACTGTCTGCAGCGGCCCGGGGGGGGGGGGGGCTGGCAGGGTCCTGGGGGGCCAGCAGCAGGGCCACAAACCTGGTAATAGACATAGTCACTGTACAGAGCGAGACCCGACATAACTTCTCCCGGGCAGACCGACCAAAGAGCCAGGGGCGTCGGGGAGAAGCAGCCACCTGGCTCGCTCGTCCCCCCTTGGAGCCCCAGGCTGGGCTCCTGGTGTGACCTGGGCAGGGAGAAAGCAGGCCCCCCCCAAGCCAGGGACCCCGAGGCGAGAGGGGTGGGGAGTGGATGGAGGACACGAGTCAAGCGGAGGGAATTCAGAGGCTCTGCCCCCTCCACAACCCCCCCCCCGCCCCAAGGCCCGCCTCCACCGTGCATCAGGAAGGGGGAAGGAAGCTGCGTGGGGGCCTCACGGATGGGGTTGCTGGCCTGGGGGAGGCAGGTTACCGGTCCGGGGGCAGCGAGCTCGGCAGCAGCGCACACACCACCTCCCGAGCATGCTCCAGGGCCAGCGCGCTCAGCACCCGGAGGGCCGCCCGCCGGGGCCTCCCTTCGGCCAGGCTGGGCACCTGTGTCAGCAGTCCCCGCACCAAGGCGTACACCTGGCAGGGTGGAGCAGATGGCCGCGGTGCACCACTCTGTACCCCCATGGGGCAGGTGCAGCCCGAAACGAGTGTGCTTGGCAGGTGCTCACTCCCAGCCCCCAGCCCTGGAACTCAACAGCAGGAGCTCGGGGCGGGGGGGGGGGGGGCAGGGACGGGTGGTGGCTCACCTGGTCCTCCAGACGCTTCCCCCGGGCCTCCAGAGCTGAGGACAGCGTGAGTGCAGTTGCCTGGGTTCCTGCAAAGCCAGCCTCTTCCAGGCAGGCAGCCGTGTACACCGCCAGGTCGGTGAGGGCCCCCTCCTCCCAGGGACTCTGGGGGTCCTAGGGCAGGGTGGATGGGATGTAGAGTCCCCTTGGCTCTCCCAGCGCTCTTCCCCAGCACCCCCCACTTCTTCCGTGTGGTTCCCTGATCCTCCCTCCGCACTCACCTGACGCCTGCCGGGCAGGGAACAGGCCTCACTGCCAACCATGGGGATGGCAGCTGCACCCTCAGCTTCCACCTCGGGTTCAAGCCCGTGTTCCGGCTGAGGGCCAAGGGAAGAGCGACCTGGGGTCTGCCCCTGGTCGGTCCGGATCCCTTCAGCCAGAGCTGTCAGGGTTAGAGCCCCCACGGGGCCCCCATGGGCCCGGCCCCACGCCCCCCAAGCCATGGCCACCGCACACCCCAAGCGGCTGGATCCAGCCTGCAGCGCCTGCCGCTGGTTCTCCCAGGAAGTCGTGCCCAGGCCTGACCTAGAAGCTGGCCCAGGGCAGGCAGGACCAGGGAGAGGCGTGGTGGCGCATGCGTGTGCGCTCACACTCTCCCTGTGTGGGGGCTGGGGCGTTCCACAGAGGCACCCACAGGTGTACACATCAGGGGCCCGGGAGGGGCCTGCCTGCCCTTGGGGCTGGCAGGGAGTAGCAGCCTGAAGCTGGGGTGTGTGGGGTCTGCTCTGCCCACCAGGCCCTGGGAAGGGATGAGACCCCTGGGGTGGTGGATCTGCAAGAAGAGGGGGAGAAGGGCCCTTCACCCTGACATCCAGTCCCTCTGGGCAGGGAAACCCCCGGCAGGTGTGGACAGCCCAGAGGAGACCCCAGCACGGTCCAGGGTCCAGAAGTCAGGGCCCAACCCTGAGCTAAGGCCCTGCCTGATTCAGCCCTAAAGCAGCAGCTGGGTCCAGGCAGAGCCTGGGGCCAGGAGCTGGGCCGTCCCCACTGCATTCCGAGCCGGCCAGGCATCTTGGGGATGAGGGTGGTTGAGAAAGATGTCGCCACCTCTGAGCTCAGGCAGGCCTGGGCTGGAGCAGAGGCGAGAGGAGTGCCCCTGCTGCCATCGTCGGGGTGGGCCTCCTGGGTCCTAGCCCGTTCTGAGGGGCCCCCTCCACCCAACACTGGACCATGGGGTTCCTGGGTCCTGGCCCAGAGGAAGTGCACAGCTGAGAAGTGGTGGACCTGTGGGGGTATCTGGGGCCCATATTCTGCCATGTGGGTGTTTGTGAGTCTGTATCTCTCCAAGCCTCATGCTCCCCAGGGCTGGCCTGACCAGGTCTCTGCCCCAAATCTTGTCATGTTCACCCAGTGACACAGGGCACTGCCCAGCCTAACTAAGCCTTGGGATCCAGCAGAGCCAGTCTGGTCAGATACTTGAAGAGGCGGAAGTGTTTTAGGAAGCCCCGCAGGAAGCCAGCACCCCTCCACGCCCTTGCCTGCGTTTGCCCCCTTGTGCTGCCTGGATCCGAGAGGCCTGGCCCGCCCACCCCACGTAGCTGAGAACAGCTCTCCCGAGTGGTTTCTGTGGAACCCAAGTCGCCAAAGCCAGTAGAAACCTGACTAGCTTTGTGCGCACAGAGGCAGGACCAGCCCAGCACCGTTCATTTCTTCGCTGGCTCTAATGCCACTTTCTGTCCCTTTGTAAGGCTCCTGGGTCAGGCCTGGCTGACCCCATGACCGATGGTGGAGCCCATGAGCACAGTGCCCAGTGGCAGAGTCCTGCAGGGCTGGCCGCTGCAGTGGCCAGGGACAGCTGGGCTTCTCTTTGGCTTGGCAGGCATGAGGTGTCCCACTGACTCCTCCGGGGCAATGCCCTTGGTTGGTGTGGGGTCTGGGGCCATGCTTGGATACAGGAAATCCCCAAGCCCCTCCTCCTGGGACCTCATCCCCACCCCGTGGCTCCCCCTCCCCGGCCTCCCGCAAGAGCCCCACCATCTCCTAGGTGGGCACTATCAGCCTCCCTTTCCCCAGAGCCTTGTCCTGTCGAGTCTCAGATCTGGCCCCGCAGTCCAGCTGCACGAGCCCCTGACTACCAGCCTTGGCCTAGCGCCTGGCCACCCTCAGACCCCAGCGAAAGGCAGCCTCCCCCGCTCCCCAGGGCAGAGCCTGGGCCTCCCCCAGGGGGCATGCACCCAGGCTCTGATCCCTGAGTCCAGCCCACCCTTGGAGGCCCTGGGGGGGGTCAAGTGAGCGGCAGGCTGGGTGAAAAAAGGACACATGACAAGCTGTGCAAGACAGTGAATGATTCATGTTGATTTCAGGCAGCCCCAGCTCGGTGCTCAGGAGGATCCTCCGGCCCGCAGTCTGGCCACCAAGGCCTGGAGCTTATCAGACAGCGCCACCTGTAGGAGGAAGAGAGGATGACGCGTGGCCATGGGCACAGAGGGCACGTGGCGCAAGCTGACCACATGGGCGTGCACCCACCCGGTATAGTGCAGGCTGCTCCAGCCGCTTGTGCTCCGGGCTCAGACGGCTCAGGGACAGCTGGGCGAAGGCTCTAGATTCGGCCAGAGATGGAAGGGGCTCACACAGCTGGGGGGAAAAGGGAAGGCAGGAGCTGTGTCAGTGGTCAGGGTCAGGGGCCAGGGAACTCAGGTTGAAGGAGCAGACTAAGGAAGCAGAAGGAAGTGGCTACCTGTCCCTGCTGGACCCAGAGTCTCAGCAGAGGCTCCACGTGGGCAGGCCTCACGGTACAGGCTCCCTGGGCCCCTCGAGGCCAGACCCTGAGCTCCTGCCCAGCCTGCGGTGGCGCCTCCTCGGCCAACTGCAGCAGATCCAACAGCGGAGACCCTGTGTGCACACCAAGAGTAAACCGGGGGGCCTGGGGACGGGAGAAGGACCGCGGAAGAGCAGGAGGCGTGGGAGGGCCTCACCATCAGCGCCCAGGAGCCGGAAGGCAGCCTTGCTCCCAGGCAGCGTCTGTTTCTCAGGGTCCTCGGTCAGTTTCATTCGGGGTTGGCCTCCCACAGACACCAGCTGCAGACGCGTGTGCTGGGGTTGCTGGACTCTTCTCCCCCAACCCCTGATCCCTCTGGCCCACCCCACTGGATCCCAGATCCTAACCCAACCTTATAGACGCAGCCCAGGGAAGGCTGGCGGGGACACGTGACCACATTGGTGCCGATGCCAATGACATTGACCTCACTGCCCTGGACGAGGAGAGAGAAGGTGGCACTGAACCTAGCTGACGTCTGCAAGCCCGGGGCCCTCCTGGCCCCGCTCTGGCCTGCCCCTGCCCGCCCCACCTCCTGGGCCAGCCGGGTCAGCTCCTCCTCATCAATGTTGTTGCTGACGGTGATGGAGACGGATTCCAGCCAGGGCATCTGGAACCTGTGATGGGGCAGCCCCTCAGATGTTTCCTGAGGCATCCGGTCACTCTCCCTCCCCAGGTACGCGTCCCCCCCCACCACCTGACAATCTGCCTTCAGCCACACGGGTCCCGGCCTTTTGCTTAGAAGCCCCTGGGTGAACCCAGCCCTGATTTCCCTGCCAAGGTCCCAGTGTTTCTGCTGCAGTAGCAACCACATCAGATCTCCCCACTTTGGGAGGAACAAACTGCTCTCTCCTCCGCCCCATCCCAACGTTCCTGCTCCCAACACGCTCTCTCAGTGGGCATAACCCGTCCCAGGGGACTCACTGGGCCGAAATGCTCCTGAAGACCCTGCGGATCTCCTGGGCCTGCTGCAGCAAGTCACCACTGTCCAATCTTACACCCACTGCTCGGTAGCCCAGCTCCCCCAGGGCCAGGGCTACTGCCAGAAAGTTAGGGAGACCGCTCCTGCCAGCAGGAAGGAGAAGGGTCGGTGAGGGGCCACAGCTGCTCTGCAGAGCCCACCCAAGGGACGACCTGGGCCTTACCTCTGCACACTGTAGGTGTCCAGCAGGCCCTGGAAGGCCTGGGGAAAAGCCAGGGCATAGGCCACAAAGGCTGCCCGCTCTCCCCGGTGGGGCTCCTGCACCCCCAGTCCCAGATGGGCACACACGCGACCCAGCCATGCCTCCACACAAGCAGCCAGATCCACCACGGGGCCCTGACTGGCAGCCGGAGCCAACATCTATGGAAAGGGGCCGGTGAAGGTTCTCCAGCCCACAGTGCAGGGTGAGGACTGGCTGACCGCCAGCTGGGGGTCTGAGCAGGGTAACGCCCGCACTACCAGCTTCCCAGCACTGGGGCTACCTGCCGGGAGCTCAGGTGGGCAAGGACTGGCTGTGGGGTCTGCCCCCTGGAGCGCAGCGGGGGCGTGGGGGGTACTGACCGGGTTGGGGGGCACCTCAGTGCCCAAAAAGGAAGTGATGAAAGAGTGTGCCAAGGTTCCGGCCAGGGGCACGCCCCGCAGCTGTCCTGCCAGCACATTGCTGCTGCCATCGAAGCCTGAGCCAGGGGGTCAGGAGGGCGTCAGGCGAGCGTCAGACGGGCTGGAGGACGTCTGGCAGGTGTCTTCCCTCCCCGGCCCCTGCCTCCCTCCTCAGGCTCTTACCGCCCAAGTAGCTGTAGGTGGAGGCTGTAAGACCCCCGTCCGGGCCCTGGGCTCGCCGCAGCCCCATCTCCAACAGCCGCTTCTTCGGACCCGCGATCAGGCGAAGCCGCGCAGCGTTGGTGGCGATGAGGCTGTCGGAGACAAGGGAGCAGGGGACCTGCGGTGAGGGTCACGAAGTCACCGCGGACCTGGGCCCCCTTCGCGGCCCTCCAGGGGGCGCGGGAGGCCCCTCTCCAGAGCCCTGGCCCCGCGCTCCGTTTCCTGGGCGGAACCACGCCCCATCCCAAATACCCGCCCCCCCGGAAGTCCCCGCTCGTCGTCCTGGGGCCCAGCTCCTACCCCGGGTCTGCCTCCAGGCCGGCGGGGTCCCACCCGGGCGGGGCCCCACCTGGCGTAGCTGACGAGGCAGAGGAGGGGCGTCTCCAGCAGCTGCACCACCAGTAGCGGCCCGCACACCTGCAGCAAGGGCACCTGCCGTGGGGTGGGGGTTGGGGAGGCAGTTGTCGGCTCGGCGCTGCCCGGCACGCTTGGGCCCACGCCCTCTGCCCCCCAGCTCACCCTGCAACTCACGCCAGGGAAGGCGAGGGAGCCCTCGGGCAGGGCCCGCACCGTCACATCGGAGCAGTCGAGGGCACGAAGGTGCTCGAAGAACGCGGGGTCCGTGTCGGACGGCAGCATCGAGGCCAGAAACTGCACGTCTGGGGGTGACAGAGGCCCTTGTGGGCTGGAGCTAGCGCAGGCCGTGGAGGACTCGTCGGGGCCGGGACCGTCGGGGGTCCTGGGAGGCTTGTTGGGCCATGGGGGACTCTGGGCCGGGGCTCTCAGGCGAGGGGTCGGGGAGGGAAAGACGCGACTAGGTGGCAGGTGACCAGCAGGGTCATGGGGGCCGGCCGGAGGAGGGTGGGACTACCTGCGTCCTGCAAGCGGAAGGCGCGCAGGAAACGCACGCAGTCGCGCAGCCCCGCGGCCAGGGCGAAGGCGCCGCCGAACGGGCAGCCGCGGAAGAAGAGCTCGAACTCCGCCTGTTCCTGCGCCCGCCCCGCGCGCCAGTAGCCCAGCGCCATGGTGGCCTGGTAGAGGTCGGTGAGCAGCGGGCGAGCCGCAGCGCGCGCCTCGGGGTCCTGCTCCGCCGCCATTGCGCCCCGACGCCCGGACTCCGGCCCGCGCCCCGCCCCGCGCCCCGCCCCGCGCCCACGTGACGCCCCGCCCCAGGTTTGATCGGGGCCCGCCCCCCTGGCAGGGCGACTAGCACCGCGGGCGCCCGAAGCCGCGCTAAAGCCACACCCAGCCTGCCCTGGGGAGGGGCGGTAGGTGCCGGGGACCCTACAGCTTGCTCCGAGGGGGCACGTCGGCGGTGCTCAGGGACGTGTGGTGCTGACGGAGTAAGAGGGCCCCCAGGGCCCCCGCCGTCAAGGGGGGGGGCAGTCCATTCCCGTGTGGCTTGGGCCCCTGGAGGGCACCAGTTCGACCGGAAGTAACCACAGCCCACACCCTTTGTCCCCAACTCAGAATGGCTGTCTCACCAGCCTCGCTGGCCAACGGTCCAGGGGAGGGGCTGCCAGTGCCAAGTACCGCCCGGACAGGACCGTGGGCACGACTCCACAGGTCGATTTGTCACGGGCCTGCCCAGGGTCCAGGTCTCCAGTGGGGGAGGGGGAGGGGGAGGCCAAAGAGCAGACACGGGCAGCGCCCCGGGGGTTGGAGGGTTGGAGCAGCAGGGGCCTCACCTAAGGAATCGGCCAGGCTCCTTGGACATGCTGGGAGGCCTGGCAGGGTTTCCCACAGGTCCCACTTGGGGGGCCCATGACTGTGGTCACAGCAGCAGGGCCAGGACGGCCCCTGGAGCCTTTCTTCCCTGGACACTTTTGCTCCCCTGGGGTCAGCTCAGCAGGGAATGGAACCCAGAGGAGGTGGAGTGGAGAGGCCCCCTGTGCCTCAAGCGGGACTGGCAGCCCCCGCAGAGCCGCCGAGCCGCCAACGCATACTCTGTTTCTGGCTTCAGTAGCTTGAGCCTGGTGTGGCACTTGTAACCGAGGGCTGAGTGCCATCCGGAGGGCAGCCAAGAGGCAGAGAAGGGGCAGACAGGGAGTGAACACACAGCCACCAGAACGCTGTGCAGAGACCAAGGAAGGGGAGGATGGTGCTGGGCCCCAGGGTCACTGGCGGAGGAGGGGCCTAGCTGGGACACTAATGAGACGGAGGCCAAGCGTGAGGCCTGCAGCTTGGCCGTGCTGCTCCCTGAGTGTGCCCGCCCCCTGGGCCCCGACGAGCACAGGAGCCAGAGTGCGCGATCTCAGTCTTTAATGGCTGCAGGGCCTCACACGCCCAGGCCCGGGGCCAGTGCTCGGGCTCAGATCTTGTTGAAGGCAGCAATGTCGACACTCTGCACCTGAGAATGAGGGAGGCCAGTGGTCACACGGGGCCCAGGTTCCCAAAGACCCACCCGCTGTGGCCACCTGCCTGGCCAGGGGTTTGCTTGGGGGCCTGTCCACTCACGTGCTCCTCGAACTTGGTGACCTCCTCCTCTAGCAGGTCAGTCCCCACTTTGTCGTCCTCCACCACGCACTGGATCTGTAGCTTGCGGATGCCGTAGCCCACGGGCACCAGCTTGGAGCCCCCCCAGGTCAGCCCGTCTAACTGGATGGAGCGCACGCAGGCCTCCAGCTGGGCCATGTCTGTCTCATCGTCCCACTGGGGGGAAAAGAGGTGGAGAGGCTGGGGGTCAGGAGGCTGCAGACCCCAGGGAGTGTCCCCTGCTTCCCGCAGAGCACAGCAGAGCAGGCAGAGCCCTTACAGGGCCCCCGGGTGCGGGCTAACCCGACAGCCCCCCTGGGACATGGGGCGGGGAAGGGGCGCGCCACTCACAGGCTTGACGTCCAGGAGGATGGAGGACTTGGCCACCAGCACGGGCTTCTTGGCCTTCCTCTCGGCGTACTGCCGTAACCGCTCCGCGCGCAGCCGCGCCGCCTCCTTGTCTTCCTCCTCATCGCTGCCGAACAGGTCGATGGCGTCATCCTCATCGTCCTCCGCGGCAGGGGCCGCCTTCCTGGCAGGGGGCTCCGCTTGGCGCATGGGGGACACGTGCTGCCGTGGGGGAGGGAGGCTGAGGCCCGTGCCACCGGGGCCCCAGTTGGGGGTGAGGGCCAGGGGCACCTTCTGCCGCCCGCCCCCCTCCAGTGCCCAGGCAGAGGGTCCCTGGTCTGAGAGAGGTACTCACCTGGGTCTGTGGGGCTGTGGCCCGATGGGCAGGAGAGCTCTTCTCCAGCACGCTCAGCCGGGCCTCCAGCCTGGAGACAGCCTGCTGCAGATCCTGCACCACTACAGGAGCAAAGGGGATGCTGGTCAGAGGGTGGGGGAGGCCAGCGGGGGACGGCGTCCCACCCATTAGGCCCAGGGACTCACCACCTCGCAGGCTCTGATTCTCCACTTCCAGACTGGCGATCCGGACGGCAAGCTCACTGTGATCTCCGCTGGGTCCGCTGGAGGCCCCAGGGCCTGAGCTCTGTAAGGCAGGGGGAAGGTGAGGATGCAGCACCCCAGCCTGCTCCCAGGGTCCCCCTGTTCACAGCCACTGAAAACCAGAACCCCAACATGGGTGGGAGACCTGCTGGACACTAGGAAGAGACTCCTGTCAGCCCCCGCTGGGTCCACTTGGGGTATTCCAACCCCAAAAGTGGGGAGGAAGCCCTGTGAGCATGAACCCAAGCAGGAAGCACAGGGCCCAGCGAGCGCTGGCATGGAGGTGGTGCAGAACCCACACCCTGGCTGTCACTGCCCCTTGGGGCGGGAGGAAGCAGACTGCATACAGCCCTGGGACAGCCTGGGCCACAGTGGGGCCGGGCAGCACAGCTCGGAACTGGACACAGGAGGGAAGGGGGTTCAGGGGCCAGTGCAGGTAGGAGAAGAGAGCTTTCCTGTGTAGGGTGCAGACACTCCATAGCACCTTGCCTTCCCCAGGCCATACACCTGCCACCTGGCTCATGGAGCCGGCCCTTGAAGGCTCTGGGTGACGCGGGGCGCACAGCTGCCCGCCAGCCTCCCTTGGGTTCCTCCCTCACCGGGAGCCCCTCAGCAGGGCACCACGCCTCAAGCCCAACTTACACCTCAGGGGCCTACACATACATACCCAACAGAGTGGAGAGGAGAACAGAGTGTACCTGGCCATTTCGTGAGGGCAAGCCCCACGACCTCCTCCTCTGCTCAACACGCCCCCAAATCACAGACAAGCTAAAGGTGCCCAGAAAGGACAGGCGCCCGGCTCCCTGCTGGGGGTCAGTGAGCAATGCAAGGCCAATGTTACCTAACCCGTGACCCACCAGCTCCCACATCTGGCTCCTAGCGGACCCAGCCAAAGGCAGAGACCGGACGCCATGCAGCTGGGGCAGGAGCACCGGCACCAGGGTGGGCTCTGCTCACGGCACTCCGCTCCTTCAGCTCAACTCCCTCGCTCCGCCAATGGAAAGCTGTGGACTCGCTCACGTCTCAGCCGCCGCCGCCTGGCACGTGGCCCCCTCTCCAGCCTGTCCCCCAGCACTCAGCTCTCTCTACGCCACGCTCGCTAGCATTTGCAACAGTTCCCACCACACAGGGATGAAATCCCGACCACCCTCCTCCCGTTCTACCAGCCCGCACACCCAGGCCCGGTTCCCATCTCAGCAAGCCCCCCGCCAGCCGCCTCTCCTGGGGGGTCAGTACCTGTCGAGCAAATGCATCCGGGCCCGGCCGCAGGCTGGTGCCTCAAGCCTTTGCGCTGGTGTCACCACTGAGTGGGGACTGCCTACTGACAGGTCCCAAGGGTGCAAGCTCCAGGCAAGGCCCCACCTGGCACAAGGCCAAAGTGGTAGGCAGAGCCCCGAGTGCTGGCGGCCACTGGGTTAACCACCACCAGGCCCTGCATGCTCTCAAGTCTCTCACTGAAGTCTGTGCCCTGGGACGACCTCACCCACCCCGACTCTGACCCAGGCAAGGAATGAGGATGCCAGGCAGTCTAGGGCCCCCAACCCCAGCCTGTGAGGCAGACCTAGGCTTCCCCGTCTAGTCCTGGCCTGTGACAGTGGGCCACAGGGGACAGTGCCACCTTCCATCCCCACATCCAACCCTGCCCCTGGCACCATACACAATTCCCAGGAAGCTCTGGGTTCTCAGGTCGCAGTGGCTGCTGAGCTCTCTCCAACCCAAATCCAAGCCTGGGGCTGGGCCAGCAATGTCCTTCCTGGGTCCCTGTTAGTGGTTGAAGGACACTCCCCCTGAAGTTCCCACCACTACCACAGAACAGGGGCTTGTTTGGAAACTGGGCCTCTACAGTGGTAATCCAGTTATAATGAAGTCATTAAGGTGGCCCTAATTCTGACTACTGTCCTCATAAAAGGCAATCTGGAAACAAACACCCGGAGGGAACACAATGTAAAGACACAGGAGAATGAGGGCCACGCACGTGCCCACGATAGGGCTCAGAACCTGCCCACACCTTGACCTTCGACTTCTAGCTTCCAGACTGATTTTAAATAAAGTGTACCGTTTAAGCCCTTGGTCTGGGGTGCTTTGTTACAGCAACCCCAGCAAACCAGCAGTCCTAGCAGGACGCCCACATGCTTTCAACCCCCAACACGGCCAGGGTGCCCTGAGGGCCAGAGGAAGAGTTCCTGCAGCCCAAGAACCCCCAGGGCAGCTGGCCCCCGAGCCGCTTAGCTCCCCGGCCCTGGCCTTCCGGGGGGACTGGAATCCCGCACACCGGCCTGGGTGCGAGGCGACAGCAAGTGGGGGCCAAGCATAAAGCAGGGCCCCCGAGGCAGGAAGCAGTGGCAACAGCCCCTGGGGTTTGTTGAGAGCTGTCCCGCCCAGCCGTGGCAGGCAGAGGCTCCCGAACTTGCCCACGTGCTAATCCCCAAAGCCAACAAAATGATGGCCTCAGGTGGCAAAAGGGATGCTGCCCACAGGACAAAGCGGAGGCTCTGCAGACAGGGAAATGCTCCTGGGTTATCTGGGCGGGCCCCGTGTCAGCGAGAGGCAGAAGAGAAGAAAATGTGAGATGGCGCTGGAGTCAGGACACAGCTGGCTAGAAGCCACAGGCCGAGACATGAGGGCGGCTTCTTCAAGGTGGGAAAGGCAACGAGAAAGTCTTTCCTAAAGTCTCCAGAAGGAACACAACTCTGATGACACTCCG